GGAGGTGGGGATGGGGCGTCTGGTTATAATGGCGGGAAAAAAGATTGATAGGGGGGTATGGGAAGGGGGGTATTCACATCTATAGATAGCTTCTTTGAATAGGAAATTTTTAATGAATTAACGATAGAGATTGATATGTATAATGCCAGGCAAGTGACTTCTAATATATGTTGCATGTGCTTAGTTCTGTTTTTGGGGTTTGGCAGGACAATTCCGAGTACTTGTATACTTTTGAGGTTACGGGGGGTAAGGGGGGTTTGATCTAAATTAGTCTTTATCTGTTGGATGTGTGGTGTGTACGTGTACGTGTACGTGTACGTGTGTACGTGTACGTGTACGTGTGTACGTATACGTGTACGTGTGTACGTGTACGTGTGTACGTGTACGTGTGTACGTGTGTACGTGTACGTGTACGTGTGTACGTGTACGTGTACGTGTGTACGTGTACGTGTACGTGTACGTGTACGTGTACGTGTGTACGTGTACGTGTACGTGTACGTGTACGTGTACGTGTACGTGTGTACGTGTACGTGTGTGTGTGTGTGTGTGTATGTCCTGTAACCATTGACTGAATTGCACCTTATGGTTGTGCGATGCGGATAAATGATGAAGGATAAGTCCAGCTACAAATTATTTGACTGCTACGAGGCCTTTACGGCCATAGCTGAGTGATACCAGTCCCCCCCCCCTAAAAATTAAAAAATACCAAATGCATGACACCACAGTTATGTGTGATCATGGGCTGATTAGTCATTAGTCCATCGAGATGTCCCATTTGAAGGGTTAGTAGGATTGGGTTGAGGACTATCATGGCCCTGAAGTAAGAACCAGATGCCAGGTATAGTTTCAGTATAGAAACCCCCACATTTGATGGGCCCGGAGCGAGAAGAGGTACACATCGGGCAAGGGTTGATGGTTTCTCGAGGCATGGTGTTTAAGCTCGTGATCTAAGTGAGATGCAGCATGTAAAATCAAGCATAATATGTACATGCTTATATGCATGGGGCAAACCATTAATGCACGATATACATAGGGGGAGGAAAAGGGTACATACTGGGGAAGCACAGTAAATGTTGTTAAATATATGAATTAAAGTATGGAAGAAAAATCAAGGAATAGTTTAGTTAGAATATCAGCTTTGGGTGCTGATGGCGGGGCTGTTGCTTCTTCCTTGAGTCTTAGGGAGATGGTGTTCTCCATTTTTGGTTTACAAGACCAAAGTAATTAATATACTACAAAGACTCTTCATTTTAAAAGATTATTCTCGACGATGCTGGCGACTGGTATGAAAATTAGGAGGATGGCGAAATAGAGGATTGAGGCTAGTTGGCCGATGGTGATAAATGGGTGTTCTACTGGTTGGCCCCCAATTCAGGTCAAGGTGAGGAGGTCGGCTACTAGCAGTCAAAATAAGCATTGGCTGAGTGGGCGGAATATCATGCCTCGTTGTTTTGAGGTGTGCAGCAGGGGAATAATGGCTAGGACTAGGATGGAAAGGACTAGGGCTAGTACTCCTCCTAATTTGTTGGGGATGGATCGTAGGATTGCATATGCAAATAGGAAGTATCATTCGGGCTTGATGTGGGGTGGTGTGTTGAGTGGGTTGGCGGGTGTGTAGTTGTCTGGGTCTCCTAGTAGGTCGGGTGAGAATAGTACTAGTATCATGAGTACTAGAGCTAGGAATAGGGCTCCTAGAATGTCCTTGATGGTATAGTATGGATGAAATGGGATTTTATCAGAGTCGGAGGGGATTCCTGAGGGATTATTGGATCCTGTTTCGTGAAGAAATAATAGGTGGATGGCTGCTAGTGCTAAGATGATGAATGGTAAGATAAAGTGGAAGGCAAAAAATCGTGTCAGGGTGGCTTTGTCTACTGAGAACCCCCCTCAGATTCATTCTACAAGGCTAGTCCCGATGTATGGGATGGCTGATAGTAGGTTGGTAATCACAGTTGCGCCTCAGAAGGATATTTGTCCTCATGGTAACACGTAACCTATGAATGCTGTTGCTATGATTGTGAATAACAAGATGATGCCGATGTTTCATGTTTCGGAATATGTGTAAGACCCATAGTATAGGCCCCGTCCGACGTGCAGAAACAGGCAGATAAAGAATATGGAGGCCCCGTTGGCATGTATATATCGGATGACTCAGCCATAGTTGACGTCTCGGCAGATATGGGTGACTGATGAGAAAGCTGTAGCTGTATCTGACGTGTAGTGCATGGCTAAAAATAAACCTGTAAGAATCTGAAGGATTAGGCAAATTCCGAGGAGAGAGCCGAAGTTTCATCATGCTGAAATATTTGATGGTGCGGGTAAATCAATAAATGAATTGTTGATGATTTTGGCTAATGGGTGAGTTTTACGAATGTTGGTCATTAATGTTCTTATAGTTGAAATACAACGGTGGCTTTTCATGTCACTGGTCATGGTTAGATTCCATGTAGGAATAATGATAACATACGTTGTATTTATTTTAAGTGTTATTTTTGTAGTTAGTTTTGTAGGGTTTTCTTCGAAACCTTCTCCTATCTACGGTGGACTTGTTTTAATTGTTAGTGGGGCTGTTGGTTGTGGGATTGTGTTAAGTTTCGGAGGGTCTTTTCTGGGGTTAATGGTATTCTTAATTTATCTAGGGGGTATGTTGGTTGTTTTTGGTTATACCACTGCTATGGCTACTGAGCAGTATCCTGAAGTTTGAGTCTCTAATAAGGCCGTTTTAGGTGCTTTTATTGTCGGGTTATTATCCGAGTTATTGGCTGCTTGTTATATTTTGAAGGGTGATGATGTTGAAGTTGAAGTTGTATTAAAGTTTAATGGAGCGGGTGATTGGGTCATTTACGATACGGGTGATTCAGGATTTTTCAGTGAGGAAGCCATAGGAATTGCGGCTTTGTATAGTTATGGAACTTGGCTTGTTATTGTTACTGGCTGATCACTTCTCATCGGGGTATTGGTGATTATGGAGGTTACTCGTGGAAACTAAGTGTAAGTAGAGTGAGAGTAAGGGCTAGGGTAAGTATGAAGGATATAAAGTACAACTTGATTAGGCCCTTTTGGCTGGAGACGGTGATTGAGGATTTTATTTGGAAGAAGGCAATGGATTTTGGTAGAATTTTTTCTGTCCAGGCTAGGTCTAGTAGTGTTGATGCTGATTTCTGGCTCATGATTAGGCTTATTTTGGGTATTAAGCGGTGTATGATGGTGGGAAAGTATCCCAGCATATTTGAGAATTTGTATAGGTCTGAGGGGTGCTTGAATTTTAGGTTTTGTATTATGAGGTTAAGTTCTAGTGCCAGAATGAAGCCTAAGATAGTTACGGTGAGGGCCATTATTTTGAGATAATGAGGCATAGTTATCTGTGGGGTAGTGGTGGGTGTAATGTTGTAAGAAATTAAGAATCCTGCAAAAATGCTCCCGAATAAAAGACGTTTGATGGAATTGATTAGGGGTGGATTATTCTCGTTGATTGTGATAATAGGGTTGAAGCGAGGTTGGCCTAGGAGTGCAAAGAATATAATTCGAGTGCTATAGGCAGCTGTTATGGATGTAGCAACGAGGGTTATTAGTAGGGCTCAGGCGTTGGTATACGACGTGTTGGCGGTTTCAATGATTAGGTCTTTAGAATAGAATCCCGTTAGGAAGGGTATTCCTGTAAGTGCTAGGCTTCCGATAATTAGGGAGGTAGTAGTAAATGGTAGCGCTTTGAATAATCCTCCTATTTTTCGGATGTCTTGTTCATCATTTAGGCTATGGATGATTGATCCGGAGCACATAAATAATATGGCTTTGAAGAATGCGTGTGTGCAGATGTGGAGGAATGCTAGGTAGGGTTGGTTGATGCCGATGGTTACAATTATCAGTCCAAGCTGGCTGGAGGTAGAAAAAGCAACGATTTTTTTGATGTCGTTCTGTGTTAGGGCACAAATTGCTGTGAATAGGGTTGTGATTGCTCCTAGGCATAGTGTGATGGTTTGTATAGTTTTGTTATGCTCTATTAAGGGGTGGAATCGGATTAGGAGGAATACCCCTGCTACAACTATTGTGCTTGAGTGCAGTAGGGCCGATACGGGGGTAGGGCCTTCTATGGCTGAGGGTAGTCATGGGTGGAGACCAAATTGTGCGGATTTTCCAGCGGCTGCCAGTAATAGACCAGTGAGGGGGATATTTAGGTTTTCGTGGTTGGTTATAAAAATTTGTTGAAGGTCTCATGTGTTTAGATTGGCCAGGAATCAGGCCATGGCTATAATGAATCCTACATCTCCGATGCGGTTGTATAGGATGGCTTGTAGTGCGGCTGTATTTGCATCTGTTCGTCCATATCATCAGCCGATGAGTAGGAATGACATAATACCTACTCCTTCTCAGCCAATGAATAGTTGAAATATGTTGTTGGCAGTGACCAGAATTATCATAGTGATGAGGAATAGGAGTAAATATTTAAAAAATCGATTGATGTGGGGGTCTGAGTGTATATATCACATTGAGAACTCTATGATAGATCATGTGACGAATAATGCCACTGGCACGAAGATTATTGAGAAATAGTCAAGTTTGAAGCTAAGGGACAATTTTATTGTCTGGATGGTAGCTCAGTGTCAGTTTGAGATCATTGTGTCCTGTCCCAGGTGTAGGAATATTATTATAGGGACTAGGCTGATTATGAAGGCATATGAAATAGTGGTTTTTACGTATTGTGGATAAAGCTTGTTATTGTATATAGAGGTGTTAGTTATTATGATAGGGAGGGTTAATATAAATAGTGCTACAAGAGTTGAGGAAGTGAATAGGTTAATTACTTTTATTTGGAGTTGCACCAATTTTTTGGTTCCTAAGACCAATGGATTACTACTATCCTTTAAAAGTTGAGAAAGCCATGTTTTTATACATGGAAGCATGAATTAGCAGTTCCTGCATATACTATCTCGGTAAATAAAAAGGCTTAAGCTTTTATTATCAGATTCACAATCTAATGTTTTTGTTAAACTATATTTACAGTAGATGGGACCAAGGATGACTTTGGGGTTGAGTGAGAGAAGCAGTAGGGGTAGTAAGTGGAGAGCTATTAAGGAGTTTTCACGTGTAAATGATGGTTTAACGTTTTTAATATGGTGTGTGTACTTCCCGCGTTGTGTGGTAATTAATATGTATAAGGAGTATAGGGCGGTAATGGTAATGTTGATTCCTATCAGGATAATAGTAATATTGGATCATGAAAATGAGGCTATAACTACAAATAGCTCTCCTACTAAGTTGATTGTGGGTGGTAGTGCTAGGTTAGTCAAGCTAGCAAGTAGTCATCATGCGGCTATTAGTGGTAAGAGTGTTTGAAGTCCTCGTGCAAGAATTATAGTACGGCTGTGAACACGTTCGTAGTTAGAATTAGCTAGGCAAAATAGTATAGATGATGTTAGGCCATGGGCGATTATTAGGGCTGTTGCTCCTATGTAGCTTCATGGTGATTGGATTAGTACTGCTACAATTACTAGGGCTATATGGCTTACAGAAGAATAAGCGATTAGGGACTTTAGGTCTGTTTGGCGTAGACAAATGGAGCTCGTTATGATTATTCCTCAGAGGGACAATATTATGAAAGGGTATGCTATGAAGTTTGTTAATGGGTTTAATAGGACAGTAATTCGTATTATTCCGTATCCGCCTAGTTTAAGGAGCACGGCGGCAAGGACCATAGATCCGGCGATGGGGGCTTCTACATGGGCTTTCGGGAGTCATAGGTGGAGGCCGTATAGTGGTATTTTTACTATGAATGCTATTATGCATGCTAGTCAAAGTAGAGCATTTGATCAGGAATCTAGTAAGGGTGGCGCTCAATACTGGATTACTAATAAATTTAGGGTGCCTAAGTTATTTTGGACTCATAGTAGTGCGATTAGGAGGGGCAGAGACCCTACTAGGGTGTAAAATAGGAAGTACAGGCCGGCGTTTAGGCGCTCTGTTTGATTACCTCATCGAGTAATAATAATTAGTGTTGGTATTAGTGTAGCTTCGAATAGAATGTAGAATATAATTAGCTCCGTGGCGGTGAATGTCATAATTAGGAATAGTTGTAGTAAGACTAGTATTGTAATGTAGAGCTTTTTTCGGGTGAGAGTTTCTTTTGATAGGTGATATTGGCTTGCTATGAGTATTAAGGGAAGGAGTCATGTTGTGAGTATTAATAGGGGAGCTGATAGGGAGTCAGTAAAAAATAATAGGGAGAAGTTTAGGTTGTTATCTGTGAATTGGTTGAGGTATGTCAGGCCGATGAGGCTGATTAACATGCTATATGCTGTTGTGTTAATTCAGATTATGCTAGGTTTTGATAGTCACGTCAGGGGGATTAGTATTATAGTTGGGATGATAATTTTTAGCATTGTAGTAAATTCAAGTTTTGTACGTAGTCTGTTCCATATGTATTAGAGATTATAACTAGTAAGGATAGCCCCAATGCTGCTTCACAGGCGGCGAATACAAGGAGGATAATGGGGGTTATGCTGGCTAGTGTGAGGTGATTGGTTAGGATGGTCACCGTTATTATAACAAAAAGGGATAATATTATGCCTTCTAGGCAGAGTAGGGAGGATATTAGGTGGGATCGGTAAATAAGCAGTCCTATGAAAGATAGAGTAAAGGCTAAAAAGATGTTAATATACACTATGGACATTTGATAATTGTAATATGAGTTACAATCTAATGAGTCGAAATCATTTGTTTTGGTTAAACTAATTATCACTATTCATTTCATTCTAAACCTTCTTCGGTTCATTCGTAGGCTAGACTTAGGGCTAGTAAGGAGATTAGTGCTAGCGCTATGGTGAGTGTTGTCTTTAGGTTAATTGATTGGGAGGCTCATGGTAGTGGCAGGAGTAATGCAATTTCTAGGTCGAATAGTAGAAATGTGATGGCTACTAGGAAAAATTTTATAGAGAAAGGCAGGCGTGCCGATCCTAGGGGGTCAAAGCCGCATTCATAGGGGCTTGCTTTTTCTGAGTAGATGTTTAGTTGAGGCAGCCAGAATGCGATTAGGACAAGTAGTGATGCGAGAGATACGTTGATGAGTAGAGTTAGTATTATGTTTATTATTTCTCTCTGGGTTGTTACCAAAACTGGTTGATTGGAAGTCAACTGTACTTATTAATACTAGAGAAATAAGATCCTCATCAATAGATGGAAACATATAGGAATAATCACACGACATCTACGAAATGTCAGTATCAAGCAGCTGCTTCAAATCCAAAATGGTGGCTAGATGTGAAGTGGTAGTTTAGTTGTCGTAGGAAGCATACAACGAGGAAGGTAGAGCCAATAATGACGTGGAGACCATGGAATCCTGTGGCTATGAAGAATGTGGAGCCGTAGACTCCGTCAGAGATTGTAAAAGGTGCTTCGTAGTATTCTGAGGCTTGCAGAAGGGTGAAATACAGGCCTAGGGAGATTGTAATAAATAATGCTTGGAGTATGTGTTTACGGTTGCCTTCTATTAGGCTATGGTGGGCTCAGGTGATGGAGACTCCGGAGGCTAGAAGGACTGAGGTATTAAGCAGTGGCACTTCCAGTGGATTTAAGGGTGTGATACCTGTGGGTGGTCAGCAACCTCCTAATTCGGGGGTTGGTGCTAGGCTTGAGTGGTAGAAGGCTCAGAAAAAGCCTGCGAAGAAAAAAACCTCCGATACGATAAAAAGAATTATTCCGTATCGTAGGCCTTTTTGAACAGGGGGAGTATGATGGCCTTGGAATGTCCCTTCTCGAACTACATCTCGTCATCATTGGAATATAGTTATTAAGTTGGTTGTTATACCTAGGGTCAGCAGGGATATTGAGCTAAAGTGGAATCATATTACTAATCCTGATGTTATGAGAAGGGCAGAGAGAGCTCCCGTTAGTGGCCACGGGCTTGGGTTTACTATGTGATATGAGTGGGTTTGGTGGGTCATTAGGTGTTATCATGTAGGTACAAGCTTACTAGTAAAGTAAAAACGTAAGCTTGAATAAGGGCCACTGCAAATTCTAAGATGGTTAGGAGAATAAGGATAATAAAAGTTATTATAGCGGTAATGGTGCTGATGCTTGTTAAAGCCAAGGTGGCTCCACCGATCAGGTGGATTAATAAGTGACCTGCGGTGATGTTGGCTGTTAGTCGAATAGCTAAGGCTATGGGCTGGATAAAAAGGCTAATGGTCTCAATGATTACAAGTATTGGGATCAGAGGTAGGGGTGTTCCTTGTGGTAGAAAGTGGGCTAAGGATGCCTTTATTTTGTATCGAAAACCGGTGACTACCGTACCCGCTCACAGGGGGATGGCCATGCCTAGATTTAGAGACAGTTGGGTAGTGGGAGTAAATGAATGAGGCAGAAGGCCTAAGAGATTGGTAGACCCAATAAATAGGATTAAGGACATTAATATTAGTGCTCAGGTTTGTCCCTTTTGGTTGTGAATAGATAGTATTTGTTTTGATGTTAGTTGAACTAATCATTGTTGGATGGAGATGAGTCGGTTATTGATTAATCGACTCGGTGAGGGGAATATAATGCCTGGGAACATGGTGATAAGAATAACAATAGGGAGTCCTATTATTGTAGGGGTAATGAAAGAGGAGAATAGATTTTCGTTCATTTTTTCTCTCAAGGTGTAATGGGGTTTGACATGGATACCGGTTTTGGTTCAGGGTTCTCTGGGAAATAATACTTGGATACTTTTAGTTGAAACATAAAGAATAGGGTAATAATTATTGACAGGATTATAATGAACCATGTTGAAGTGTCCAGTTGTGGCATGTCATTGAGGAGAGATTCATGCTCTCAATTTTTAACTTAAAAGGTTAATGCTACTTAGCTTCTCAATGAATTTATAGTATTGAGGCGGATCATTTTTCGAAGTGGGACAGGGGTACTAGTTCGAGAACAATGGGCATAAAGCTGTGGTTGGAGCCGCAAATTTCAGAGCATTGACCATAATATAGTCCTGGGCGCATAGCTATAAGGGTGGTTTGATTGAGGCGTCCCGGGATAGCGTCGGTTTTTAGTCCTAGGGATGGTACGGCTCATGAGTGTAACACGTCTTCGGACGAGATTAGTATACGGATTGTTATTTCTATTGGAAGAACCACTCGATTATCTACTTCTAATAATCGTAGTTCTCCGGGCTTAAGCTCTTGAGTTGGGACTATGTAAGAATCGAAGTTTAAATCTTCATAGTCCGTATATTCATAACTTCAATATCATTGGTGGCCCATGGTTTTTACAGTCAGGGAAGGGTTATTAATTTCATCCATTATGTAGAGGATTCGTAGCGAGGGCAAGGCGATTAGAATGAGGATAATGGCGGGTAAAATGGTTCAGACTGTTTCGACTTCTTGAGCATCTATAGTGCTAGTGTGTGTTAGTTTAGTGGTAAGTATGAGTGAAATGATATAGAGAACAAGAGAGCTGATTAAGAATACAATTATTAGTGTATGGTCATGAAAATGGAGTAGTTCTTCTATGATAGGGGAGGTTGCATCTTGAAGGCCTAGTTGGAAGGGGTATGCCATAGAGACATAAAGGGTTTTCACCTATAATTTGACTTTGACAAAGTCATGTAATTTTTACTAATATCTCTTTATCGAGAAAGACATAGTGGTTATGATGTTGGCTTGAAACCAATTCTAGGGGGTTCGATTCCTTCCTTTCTTATTTTGATAGCACGTAGGCTGGTTCTTCGAATGTGTGATATGGGGGAGGACATCCGTGTAATCATTCAATGTTTGTAGAAGTAAGCTCCACTGTCAGTACTTCTCGTTTGGATGCGAAAGCTTCTCAAATTATGAAGATTATTAGTATTACCGCTGTTAGTGAAATGAAGGAGCCTATGGAAGATACCGTATTTCATGTCGTGTAGGCATCTGGGTAGTCAGAGTATCGTCGGGGTATACCTGATAGGCCCAAAAAATGTTGGGGAAAGAATGTCATGTTTACTCCCACGAATATAATTGTGAAATGAATTTTTGCTCAAGTATCGTTTAGTATGTAGCCTGTAAATAGGGGGAATCAGTGGACAAATCCGCCTATGATTGCAAAAACTGCTCCCATTGAGAGAACGTAATGGAAATGTGCTACTACATAGTATGTGTCGTGAAGAACGATGTCTAGTGATGAATTTGACAGCACAATGCCTGTTAAACCACCCACTGTGAAAAGAAAGATAAAGCCCAAGGCTCATAATATGGCTGGTGATCATTTGATGTTTCCTCCATGTAGGGTGGCTAGTCAGCTGAATACTTTCACTCCCGTCGGGATTGCGATAATTATAGTGGCTGAAGTGAAATATGCTCGTGTGTCAACGTCCATCCCTACGGTAAACATATGATGGGCTCATACAATGAACCCTAAAAATCCGATAGATATTATTGCCCAAACTATACCCATGTAGCCAAATGGTTCTTTTTTCCCTGAGTAATATGTTACGACGTGTGAAATAATTCCGAATCCTGGTAAAATCAGAATATATACCTCAGGATGCCCAAAAAATCAGAATAGATGTTGGTACAAGATAGGATCTCCTCCTCCGGCAGGGTCGAAGAAAGTAGTGTTTAGATTTCGATCCGTGAGTAATATGGTAATGCCGGCTGCTAGCACTGGTAGGGATAGGAGTAAGAGTACGGCCGTAATTAATACGGATCATACAAACAGGGGGGTTTGATATTGTGACATTGCAGGAGGTTTCATGTTAATAATAGTTGTAATAAAGTTGATGGCCCCCAGGATGGATGAGACACCTGCCAGGTGCAAGGAAAAGATTGTTAGGTCCACAGATGCTCCTGCGTGTGCCAGATTTCCTGCTAGAGGAGGGTACACAGTTCATCCTGTTCCCGCGCCTGCTTCTACTATGGAGGAGGCTAAGAGTAAAAGGAAGGAGGGGGGTAGAAGCCAGAAGCTTATATTGTTTATACGTGGGAATGCCATGTCAGGTGCACCAATTATTAAGGGCACTAACCAGTTCCCAAAACCTCCAATCATGATGGGTATCACTATAAAGAAAATTATTACGAAGGCATGGGCAGTCACAATTACATTGTAAATCTGGTCATCTCCCAGCAGAGCACCAGGTTGTCCCAATTCAGCGCGAATTAATAGGCTCAGGGCTGTACCTACTATTCCGGCTCATGCGCCGAATAAAAGATAGAGGGTGCCGATGTCTTTATGATTAGTGGAGAATAATCATCGATTTATGAACATAGGTAAAATGGCTGATAAGGGCATTAGACTGTAAATCTAAGAATAGGGGTTTAGTCCCCTTTTTACCAAGCCCTGTGGTGAAGTTTCACGTTGAATTGCAAATTCAAAGAAGCAGCTTCAACCCTGCCGGGGCTTCTCCCGCCTTTTTTTTCTTCGCGGCGGGAGAAGTAGATTGAAGCCAGTTGTTTAGGGTGTTTAGCTGTTAACTAAAGTTTCGTGGGGTAATAGCCCACCAATCTAGGAAGGGCTTAGCTTAATTAAAGTGACTGATTTGCGTTCAGTAGATGTGAGGTATTCTCTTGCAGTCCTTAGAACAGGTTCAGGAGTTAAGTGGATGGCACTTACTTAGGGCTTTGAAGGCCCTTGGTCTTTTTAACCTAAACTTCTAGAGTAGTGTAAGTATTATTGGGGATAGTGGGAGTAGTATGGTTGAGATTACAATTAGTAAGGGAAGTAGGGTTATGTTTTTTGTATTTTCGAATTGTCATTTTATTTTTATAATATTTATTGAGGGGAATAAAGTTAGTGTTGTTGCGTATGTTAGTCGCATATAGAAGTAAAGATTTAGTAGGGCAGTGATTGCCATAAATGTTGCTATGATGATTATGTTGTTTTTTGTGAGTTCATGGATGATTATTCATTTGGGGATGAAGCCTGAAAGGGGAGGGAGGCCTCCTAGTGATAATATAATTGTTAGGATTAGTGAAGTGATTAGTGGGAATTTGTTTCACATGTGGGATAGTGATAGGGTAGTTGTGGATGAATTGAGTATAAATAGTATAAAGGCTCCGAGTGTTATCATAATATAAATTACAAGGTTTAGTAACATTAGAGTAGGGTTGTATGTTGTTACGGCGATCATTCATCCTATATGGGCGATTGATGAGTATGCTAGGATTTTTCGTAGTTGTGTTTGGTTAAGGCCTCCTCAGCCCCCTATTAGAACAGATATAGTGGCTATAGCTATTAATAGGTTTGGATTTGTGGATGGGGAGATTTGATATAAGATGGATAGGGGAGCGATTTTTTGTCAGGTGAGTAGAATCATTCCTGATGATAATGGGATTCCTTGGGTTACTTCTGGTACTCAGAAGTGGAAGGGAGATAGTCCTAGTTTTATTGCTAGGGCTACTGTTATTATGTTTGATGCGATTGGATCGGGTATGTTTAGTACTGCTCATTGTCCTGTTAGCAGTAGGTTGATGGTGATTCCTAGCATGAGGAGTATGGATGCGGTGGCTTGGGTGAGAAAATATTTTGTTGAGGCCTCCATGGCTCGTGGATTAAATTTTTTTATTAGAATGGGGATAATGGCTAGTATATTTATTTCAAATCCGATTCAGATTGTTAATCAGTGGGAGCTGATTAGTACTATAATGGTTCCTGAGATAACGGTTGATATAATGATGGTGAGGATGGGGGGTTTAATTAGTATGGGAAGGGAATAATCCAACATTTTCGGGGTATGGGCCCGATAGCTTATTTAGCTGACCTTACTGTAGAATTTAGTGTAAGTTTGGTAGCACGGAGATTTTTGAATTCTTAGGATTAGGTTCGATCCCTATAGTTCTAGAAATAAGAGGGCTTGAACCTCTATAATTTACTCTATCAAAGTAACTCTTTTGTCAGACATATTTCTTATGTTTGGGGGGGAATGCTTGCTGTTATGATGGGTAGGGCCATGTGTCATATGCATAGGGCTAAAGTTAGGGGAAGGAAGTTTTTTCATAGTAAGTGTATAAGTTGGTCGTAGCGGAATCGTGGGTAGGATGCTCGGATTCATAAGAAGGAAATGGTTAGTAGAAGTGTTTTTATGGTGAAGTTAATAGAATATAATTCTGGTAGGTAGGGAGTGTGGAATGCACCGAAGAATAGGATAGTTGTGAGGATATTTATTATGATAATGTTAGCGTACTCGGCTAGGAAAAATAGGGCGAAGGGTCCGGCTGCATATTCAACGTTGAATCCGGAAACTAATTCTGATTCTCCTTCTGTCAGGTCGAAAGGAGCGCGGTTGGTTTCTGCTAGGGTTGAGATGAATCATATCATGGCCAGGGGTCATGCGGGGAAAATTAGTCATAGGTGTTCTTGTGTGGTGATCAGTGTGGATAAAGTAAAGGAACCATTTATTAGTAGGACTGATAGAAGAATAATAGCTAGTGTCACTTCGTAGGAGATTGTTTGGGCCACGGCTCGGAGAGCTCCGATTAGGGCATATTTTGAATTTGAGGCTCAACCGGATCATAAGATGGAATAGACAGCTAGGCTTGATATTGCTAGCATGAATAGGACCCCTAGATTTATGTTGATGAGAGGGTAGGGTATAGGTAGTGGAATTCATATAGTTAGGGCTAACGTTAGGGCTAGGATTGGGGCCATTACAAATATGGTGATAGATGATGTTAGAGGTCGTAGGGGTTCTTTAGTGAAAAGTTTTACGGCGTCTGCAATTGGTTGTAGGAGTCCGTAAGGGCCTACGATGTTTGGGCCTTTGCGAAGTTGTATATATCCTAGGACTTTACGTTCTACTAGCGTTAGGAAAGCTACGGCGAGTAAGATAGGTACGATCAGTGAGATGATATTAATTAAAAACATAGTGTTAGGAAGAGGATTTGAACCTCTGGGGATAAAAGTTTAAGTTTTACGCAATTACTGGGCTCTGCCACCCTAACAAACCCTATTTCTAGGGTTATGAGGTCAGGTAGACTGACTAGATTGAGATTATATCATCTATTAGTCTTAAGGCGTTCCAGTAGAATGGGCCTTACTTCTCTTGTCCTTTCGTACTAGGAGAAGTTGCTGTAATAGATAGAAACCGACCTGGATTACTCCGGTCTGAACTCAGATCACGTAGGACTTTAATCGTTGAACAAACGAACCTTTAATAGCTGCTGCACCATTAGGATGTCCTGATCCAACATCGAGGTCGTAAACCCTATTGTTGATATGAACTCTCGAATAGGATTGCGCTGTTATCCCTAGGGTAACTTGTTCCGTTGATCAAATTATTGGATCAATAAATGATAGGATGCTTTGACTGGTTTGTCTGTGCTTGTATCACTCGGAGGTTATTTTGTTCTCCGAGGTCACCCCAACCTAAATTACTAACCCATTAATAAGGTTGTGTTAGACCCGGTTGGTGATTAAGTAGGCTTATTATGGGTTAGTTAATTAAAGCTCCATAGGGTCTTCTCGTCTTATTAGTTTATCCCCGCCTCTTCACGGGGAGGTCAATTTCACCGATTGGAAGTAAGAGACAGTTAAACCCTCGTGTGGCCGTTCATACAAGTCCTTATTTAGAGAACAAATGATTATGCTACCTTTGCACGGTCAGGATACCGCGGCCGTTGAACTAATGTCACTGGGCAGGCAGTGCCTCCAATACTGGGTATGCTGGAGGTGATGTTTTTGGTAAACAGGCGGGGTTTGTGTTTGCCGAATTCCTTTTACTTCTTTTAATCTTTCCTTACTGCACTCCTGTGTTGGGCTAACAATTGGTTTGATAGGCGTTTTATTAGTGGTTTGTTCTTATCATGTTGTTAACTATCAGCGGGTATCCGTTGACTGTTATAAGCTTGTGCAGGGAGAAATACTTCTTGTTACTCATACTAGCATTATTGCTTCTATTGTTAAATAGATTAGCCCAGTAGTGTATTAGGAGTTGGGGAGGGTTTTTGGAATTAAGTGGGTTGTATTGTTGAGCTTGAACGCTTTCTTAATTGGTGGCTGCTTTTAAGCCTACTATGGTTTTGTCCAGTTTTACTCTCTAAGGAAGGCTGTTTCCTTGTTCTAAAAAGCTGTACCTTTTTAGACTATATTTTAAATTTACATTATAATTTTTGGGTTTATAGGTAAATTTAAAGTTGAACTGAGATTCTGTTCTGGGCAACCAGCTATCACCAGGCTCGTTGGGCTTTTCACCTCTACCTATAAATCTTCTCACTATTTTGCGACATAGATGAGTTCATCCCTATGGATTGTTCACAGGTAGCTCGTCTGGTTTCGGGGGAGTTAGCTTAAGGTCTCTTCGCTAAATTGTTCTAGCTAGCTCATTATGCAAAAGGTACAAGGGGCAGTCTTTGCTGTCTATTACTTTAAATTATCTTTCATCATTCCCTTACGGTACTTTCTCTATGGCTCCAAGTAGAATTTCTATCTCCTATACTGTAATGAGTTGTTAAATGTTTTGATTTGGGGTTGCAGTGGTAGTTGAGTTGGTGTTTGGTTGGGCTAGCTTTGGTTCAAAGTGGTCATGTCATATGAAATCTTCTGGGTGTAAGCCAGGTGCTTTAGTTAAGCTACACTTTGGTTTATCCAAGCACACTTTCCAGTACGCTTACCTTGTTACGACTTGTCTCCTCTTGCTTTAGTTTGATTTTGTATTATGTAATATTTGAAGATGCTGCTTGAGGAGGGTGACGGGCGGTGTGTGCGTGCTTCATGGCCCTATTCAATTAAGCTCTCTGTTCTTAATTTACTACTAAATCCACCTTTAGTTTTCAGTTTTCATGAAAGCTTTCGTGAATATGTTCTTGGATTAGAAAATGTAGCCCATTTCTTCCCACTCCATGGGTTACACCTTGACCTAACTTTTTTATGTAATATTATTGTGCTTACTTTTCCTCCTTTTGAGGGTTTGCTGAAGATGGCGGTATATAGACTGGCTTAGCTAGGAGTGGTGAGGTTTATCGGGGTTTATCGATTACAGAACAGGCTCCTCTAGAGGGATATAAAGCACCGCCAAGTCCTTTGAGTTTTAAGCTGTTGCTAGTAGTTCTCTGGCAGACAATTTTGTTGAGTAAATTGTTTGTGTTTAGGGCTGGGCATAGTGGGGTATCTAATCCCAGTTTGGGTCCCAGCTATCGTGTTATTAGAAACCATAAAGTCACTTTCGTGATATATTTTATATTAACAGTAGCTTTTTACGGCCTGGTTAAATTTTAACTTTAGTATTTTATAATCCTTGACACGTTTTACGCCGTGGGCCTATTAGTTTGGGTTAATCGTATGACCGCGGTGGCTGGCACGAAATTTACCAACTCTTAATATTAACATGACTTAGTCAAACTTTCGTTCATGGCTTAATTTTTATCACTGCTGTGTCCCGTGGGGGTGTGGTTGAGCAAGGCGTTGTGGGCTACTTGTCTAGTGTGCCTGATGCCCGCTCCTTTTAATCGGTTTGGATTTAGAGGGCATTTTCACCGGGATGTGGAGACTTGCATGTGTAAATCTGTTAACAATTAATAGGAAGGCTAGGACCAAACCTTTGTGTTTATGGAGTCTTATGACTCTTCTAGGCATTTTCAGTGCCTTGCTTTAATTTGATAAGCTACATTAAC